ATCACATCAACAGAATAAAGGGAAAAAAACCCATATGATCGTTTCAACAGATGCAGGAATACCCCACTTTTATCAAAGGACAGATCACTCAAACAAAAAATTAACCAGGAAACATGAGAATTAATCTCTACTATAGGCTGACGTGACTTAACAGATACATACAGAACATTTCACCCAATAGCTGCAGAACACACATTCTTCTCAGTGGCACATGGGACATTATTTAGAATAGACCATATGTTAGGTCACAAAACAAATCTCAACAAATTTTTAAAAACTGAAATAATATCAACTACCTTGTCTGACCACAAGGGAATAAAACTAGAAATCCACAACAAAAGGGACACTAGAAAACTTACAAATACATAGATATTAAACAATATGCTCCTAAACAGTGAATGAGTCAAAGAAGAAATTAACAAGGAACCAGGAAAACGTGAACAAACCAAACCCCAAATCAGTAGAGAGAAATAACAAAGATCAGAGCAGAAATAAATGAATTAAAATTTTAAAAAAACAATACAAAAGATTGATGAAACAAAGAGTTGGCTTTTCAAAAAGATAAATAAAATTGGTAAACCTTTAGCTACACTAATGAAGATAAAAAAGGCTCAAATAAAATCAGAAATGACAAAAGGGGACATTACAACTGATACCACAGAAATACAAATGATCATAAAAGACTACTACAAACAACTATATGTGAGCAAACTGGAAAACCCAGAAGAAATGGATAAATTCCCAGACACATACAGCTTACCAAGGTTAAGTCATGAAAAAACCAGAAAACCTAAACAGGCTAATAATGAGTAATGAGATTGAAGCAGTAATAAGAAGTCTCCCAACAAAGAAAACTCCAGGACCAGATGTCTTCACTGCTGAATTCTACCAAACACCTAAAGAATAGTACCAATTCTCAAACTCCTCCAAAAAACTGAAGAGGAGGGAATATTACAAACTCATTCTATGAGGCCAGCATTACCCTCATACTAAAACCAGAAAAAGACACACAAGAAAGAGAAAACTACAGACCAATATCCCTGATGAACACAGACACAATAATCCTCAAGAAAATACTAGCAAACAGAATGCAGCAACACATTAAAAGGATGATACACCACGATCAAGTGGAAATCATCCCAGGGATGCAAGGGTAGTTCAGCATATGCAAATCTATAACCGAGATACATCACATCAACAGAATAAAGGGAAAAAAAACCCATATGATCGTTTCAACAGATGCAGGAAAAGCATCTGGTAAAATCCAACCCTCTTCATGATAAAAGCACTCAACAAATAAGTTATAGAAGGAATGTACCTCAACACAATAAAGGCCACCTACAACAAACCCACGGCCAATACCACATTGAATGTACAAAAATTGGAGGCTTTTCCTCTAAGATCTGGAACAAGACAAGGATGCCCACTTTCTCCACTCTTATCCAACATAGTATTAGAAGTTCTAGCCTGTGCAGTAAGGCAAGGGAAAGCAATAAAGGGCATTCAAATTGGACAGGAGGAAGTCAGGCTATCCCTATTTGCAGATGACATGATCCTATACATGGAAAACCCTAAAGACTCCATCAAAAAACTATTGGAATAAATGAATTCAGTAAAGTGGCAGGAAACAAAATCACACACAAAAATCAATAGCCTTTCTATATGCCAACAATGAAACAGCTGAAGAAGAAATCAAGAAAGGAATCCCATTCACAGTATCTACCAAAAAAGTGAAATACCTAGGAGTAAATTTAACTAAGGAGGTGAAAGACCTCTACAAAGAGAACTATAAAACAGTGATAGAAAAAACTGAAGACACAAATAAATGGAAAGATATCCCAAGTTCAAGGGTTGGAAGAATTAACATCATCAAAATTTACATATTACCCAAAGCAATCTACACATTCAATGCAATCCCTGTGAAAATACAAATGACACTCTTCACAGAAATAGAAAAAAAAAAAAAAGATCTTAAAACTTGTATGGACCAAAAAAGACCCAGAATAGCCAAAGTAATCCTGAACAAAAGGAACAAAGTGGAGACATCACACTTCCTGACTTCAAAATATACTATAAAGCTATAGTAACCAAAACAGCATGATAGTGGCATTAAAAACAGACAAATCAACCAGTGGAATAGAATAGAGAGCTCTGAAATAAACCCACACATTTACAGTCAACTGATTTCAACAAAGGTGCCAAAAATATACAATGGGGAAAGAACAGCCTCTTCAACAAACGGTGTTGGGAAAACTGGATAGCCACATGCAGAAGATTGAAACTAGACCTCTATTTCTCACCACATACAAAAATCAACTCAAAACAGATCAAAGACCTAAATTTAAGACCCAAAGCTATGAAACTACTAGAAGAAAACATAGGGGAAATGCTACAGGAAATGGGAGTGGGTAGTGCTTTTTTGAGCAAGACTACAAAGGCACAGGCAACTAAGGCAAAAATACATAAATGGGACTACATCAAACTAAAAAGCTTCTGCACAGCAAGGAACACTATCAACAAAATGAAGGGACAACCAAAAGGATGGGAGAAAGTTTTTACCAACTACACATCAGACAAGGGGCTGACATCCAGAACATACAAGGAACTTAAACTACTCAACAGCCAAAAAAAAAAAAGTACAAAAACCCAATTAAAAAATGGGCAGAGGACCTGAACAGACATTTCTTAAAAGATATATAAATAGCCAACAGGCATATGAAAAAATGTTCAATGTCACGAACCATCAGAGAAAAGCAAATTAAAACCACCATGAGATATCATCTCAACCCAGTCAGAATGGCTATTATCAACAACAGAAAAAATAACAGATGCTGCCGAGGATGCAGAGAAAAAGGAACTCTCCTGTACTGCTCTTGGGAGTGTAAATTGGTAGAGCCACTGTGGAAAACAGTATGGAGGTTCCTCAGAGAAATGAAACAGATCTACCTCACCACCCAGCTATCACACTACTGGGTATATGTTTGGTATATATTTCAAGGGAAATGAAATCAATATATCTAAAAGACACCTGCACTCCAATGTTCACAGCAGCACTACTCACAATAGCTAAGAGATGGCATCAACCTAAATGTCCAACAACGGATAAAAAAATATGTGGTCTATATATACAACGGAACACTACTCAGTTATTAAAAAAAAGATATCCTATCATTTGCAGCAACACGGATGGAAATGGAAACCATCATATTAAGTGAAGTAAGTCAAGCACAAAAGACAAATGCCACATGATAGATGTCACTCATATGTGAAATCTAAAAAAACCCCAAAAAACAAAAAAGTGGTTCTCATAGAAGTAGAAAGTGGAATAATGGTTACCAGACGCTGGAGGATGGAGGAAGGAGGAAAAGTGGTGGACTAATATGTACAAAACTGTGCTATCTACCCAAAATGAATTATTGTGCAGTATATGCACGTATTGAAACAACACGCTGTATGTACCCCACAACTGTGTATAAATAAATGTTAAAAAATATATACTTTACATATTAAAAAATTTTTTTCCATTTACCTGACTACTAGTAAATTTGAGCATTTTGTCATATGCATTTGGCCATTTGAATTTTGTCATCCGTGAACTGCACTTTAATGTCAATATTCAATTTTTTTTTACTGGGTTTCTTTGTTTCTTTTTCTTTTTTTTTTTTTACTGATTTTCAAAAGTTCCTTATATAGCTTGAGAATTAGCTCTTTCTCTCATGCATCATATATTTTCCTTCAGTTTATCTTCTGACTTAGTTAATTATCATTTTGTTGTTGTTGTAATGCAGCTATTTACAAAAATCTGTGTACTCTAATTTGCTGATATTTTACCTTTTGGTTTCTGAATTTCATGATGTGCTTATAAAACTCCAAGACTATCTATAATCTATACATATTCCTAAAGTGCTTTTGTTCCACTTTTTCAGTTTAACTTTTTTAATCCCTCAAGAATTTATTTTAGAATAAGTGAATTAGGAATCCAGCCTTATTGTTTTAATCCATTTTTAATTTATCTTTATTCCCTAATAAATTCTAATACACACACACAAAAAGCAATGTTACTTGGTAATTTAATTATTGTTTCAATTACATATGGAGAAGTGTTGCTGAAAGGGAGCAGAGCAAGCATAGCTTACAAGATGAATAACTCACCCTACCCCGCTTAGAGACACATCAAGTTTGCAGAGAGATATTTCACAAGAAATGCAATAAGTCTTTGGATGTCCAAAGATGAATGGGATAAAAAGGAGTGAAATTCTCCTCTCAGTACGTCTGGAGAGAAGACCTAGGAACCTTAATTCTTCGAAAAAACACCGCAGATAATTCTGATGCATATCCTGGTAGAGCAGCATTTCTGGGAGCGATTTTGTAACCACAGTGCTGCCTTTTAACAAATGTTCTCATGTTTTTAACTCTTTCGTGGTTAAAAAAATGATCACCATAAATATACATACTTTTTGTGTATGCATAATCTGTTCATCAAGGCGTAAACTCCTTGAAGAAAAGCACCATAGTTTATCATTCTGTTTTCCTGAGACCACTTAGCACTGGACAGAACATGCAAAAGCTTTGAATGACTCCATGTTAGTGAAATGTCAGGCAGAAAAAGGCAAGCTTTGAGAGGACCAGGCAAAGATGCTCTGTGGTCTTTCCATCAAAGAGCATAGTCCAGTGCTCTGAAGAGTGCACCAAATTCACGGATGCAGGGTGGAACAGTGAAAACTAACCTGGAAACTTAAGTTAGCAGATAACTGTGCAGAGCCTGGTAACATCATTTACTAGCTATATACCCTTAGTATCTTAACGTCCTTACACTAATATCTATAAAATACCACGTTTCACACTGAAGGTTGACAATAAAGAGGATTACAAGGCACGGTACAGAGACAGAACCTGACAACAGATGGGCGCTCAATGATCGCTGATGCCTACCTTTGTCCCAAGAAAGGTTACGTCTATTTTCAGAGATGGCATTTTAGGAGAAGAGAAACTCAACTCACCTGGAATTTGGTCATTTCCTCCACTCAGGGAAGGCCAGATTCCTGGGAAGGCCGAGTTAGGGAAAGGGAAAAAACCATGAAAATCAAGCCCACTTTGCAAGATGCAGACTAGCCTGTCCAGCAAGACTGTTACTCAGCTCCAACGACCGATCCCTTTTCAGTTAACCCTTCTCCAGCACTCTGTCTCTTGAGGTGCCTTTCCAGTCTCCCTATAGGGCTTTGGACCAAACAGGCCAAGTCTCCCCCAAAACCCATAAGGGTATGTAAATTCCGCGGCCCCCAGCTGCTCTAAGACGCTCTCATTTCCTCTGATTTTCCGATTTCTGCCTAAAGTTCTAGTTAGAGTGGGAGCTCTCGAGTGTTATGTGTCGCCTGTCGGGATAGATTTCAGCTGCCCAAGACGCCTTCCTCGACCTCATTCTCAGGGGCCCGTTTCTGGGGCGCAGAGGCTCCAATGCAACCTCTTTCAAGCGACCCTAGGTCCCTCCCAGGAGCTTCTCTCGGTCGCCAACGCCCACCGAAAACCTCCTGGGAATAAGACCACTCACTAGCGCGGCAAAGCCCGGTATGAGACACCACTAAGCCTCCAGGCCGGCGCAGCCCAGAGCTCCGTCAGGCGGGAGCAGGGGCCCTGGGAGCCGCGGCCGCCCAGCGGTAGAGACCGCCGGCCGCGGCGGGGCCGAGGACAGGACAGCTCGGCAACGCGGCAAGCGCGTAATCCCGACCGCCGGCCGCGGCGGGGCCGAGGACAGGACAGCTCGGCAACGCGGCAAGCGGACACATGTGCGGCCCTGGTCGTGCCCTCCCACAGCCACCGCGCCCTGCCTACGCATCCAGCTCTCGCGACGCCTCCCCCGCGGCGCACCCACATCCTGACCCCGGGACGCCGCTGCCAGCGGCACGGGCGCCCGACCCGTCTCACCTCCCACGTGGACTCCCCCACCTGGAAGCGCTGGATTCCGGATACCGACCCGCGCCGCCCCAAGGGCCACGAACTACAAGTCCCGGCAGGCCACGGGCGGGCACGCCCCTTCCGGCGCCAACTTCCGGCGCCGGCCTCGCGCTTCCAGTTGGCGGCGCTGAGGTCGATTTCCGTGTTCTTTGAGGGTAGCGACGAGTTCACGCTTCATCTTCCTGGTTTTTTATTACAAACGCATAAGAATTATTTTAGGAATAACCGTTAAAGTGTATTTTATTCGTTAAAATGCTACTGAGGGAGAAGGAGGTTAAATACCCCCATAATTTCGTCTTTACCTTTAAAAATATTCTGAAATGAATACCACTGGGCGTCTTCCATCTTCCCTCCGAAGTTGGTTCATCTAACATATTATTAGAGGGCCAGCTGTGTGCCAGGAGCTGTTCTAGACGCTTACACAAAAATCACTGCTCTCCTGGGTGTTAAATCTTTGTGGGGTGTTAGGTTCGGCCAGATGGAGAAAAGGGAGAGAGACCCAGCCAGGCGCCCCTTCAGCCAAGAAGCTTTACTCCACCAACGTGGGGGGAAGACTGAGTCAGATCAGTTCCTCCCAACAAAGGGAAGCAGGAGGTTTATAAGCCTTTGAGGGTTCTGGCACAGTAATGGGCAATTTCGAAATCAATAGTACGCAAGGCGATGGAGTTTGGATGTGTCCTCCCTTCCAGAACTCATGTGGAAATTTGATCCCCAATGTGGCAGTGTTGGAAACTAAGTCATGGGGGCGGATCCCTCATGAATGGATTAATGCTCTCCCTGGGGGAGGGGGGAGTAATGAGTGAGTTCTCGCTCTATTAGTTCCCGTGAGATTTCGTTGCTTAAAAGACCCTGGCACCTTCTCTCTCTTTCTTGCTTCCTCTCGCCATGTGATCTGCTTGTACCCTGGCTCCCTACCACTTTCCACCATGAGTAGAAGCAGCCTGAGGCCCGTGCCAGATGCAGCTGTCCCAG